TTCTTATTCCCTCTAGTGGGATTATGACGAGAGGCATGGCATTTTCTACCCTATCTCACTCTAAGAATTGGCAAATATTTGCAGCTACTGTTTTAATAAAAAAATATTGACTGAAAATAATCATTGAAACAGTTAGCTTTAAGAGCATTGTGGGTTATGACTGTACCACTACTTTTAATGATCGGGAGGCTTGTTCTTTCTTTCCGTATTTTCCTAAGATAACTACAGATTGCTTTTGGAGTTGGTGCTGATAGCCTTTGCAAACCAGAAACACAATTCTCTTTGACCGTACCTATGGTACTCTATAAACTATATCTGGCTCTTTAAGACGCCGCTCAAGTGTTTCAGAGGGATTCATTTTATACTTGGTAGACGAACGTGAGCGTTGTTTAAACATTTTTTAACTTTATAATTGATCCACGGCTTATTGGTTTTTTGCTTGTCCTTTACCTGTTTACAAGGAATGGGTTTATAACCAGCTTTTAGAGCATATCTTTAAGGTCAGTCCACAGTGAGACACGCATCATAAGTCATGACTTAGCCAGAAACATCTCTACTTCGCCCTCTAATTCATTTATAATTTCATTGTTATTGGCCTGAATGTACACGTAAACTTTTTTAATATCGTGATTGGCAGGGGTTAATTGGGGTAGAATGAACTTTGGGGTAACTAGCTTGTGATTGTTTATTCCCGATAGAAAAGTTACAGATTGAACCATGCTTGTGTCATAACGTAGCATTAAATATAAAATATTGGCTCCTTAGTGGCGGACAAAACGTACTGCTTAAGGCCATACGTACTGGTTACATCAAGAAATGTTCAAGAAACACCACTAGAGGGTCTACTTCAGTCCCATCTTAAATCCGGCAAATTTAAATCCTCAGTTGAAGTAAAATGATCAACAGGAAGAGTGAAAAAGATAGGATATAATGACCTGATAGCCTCAACACTGTCTCCAGGTGGACGATAAAAAAAAAAAATCGAACACTGTGGTTCCTATTTTTGGAGTACTTAATCTACACCGTAGACATTCGGAGTCTTTACATTGAATATGAATTTCTGTATTATGCAACAATTCTCTGACCATAATAAATACCCCTTCCCTACGTGAATTCCAATATTTAATCTAGACGCGATAACCACACGGAAATATTTCGGCGTTTTCTTAAATGTAGCGTCTTACCATGACTCTGTTCTAAAAACGAGATCAGGATTAAAAATCTGCAGGAGGCCATTGGAGTCATCAGTTTTATTTTTTTATGTTTTGAGAGTTGATTATGAGGGCGCTACATTCTGTTACGGTTTTCTATGCGGACACAGGTCGCCATTGCTTATTCAGGATTTTTTAACAAATTCTGTAATGTCATCCAATCTATAGTCGTCATCATTTATAAATAGCTTATCATGTACCAGCAAAACCTTGTGCTGGCCGTTTTGTGGTCATGCTTTGCCAACCGTCCATAGACGACGCCGTATTTCCCCGACACGAGGTGAAAAATCCCTCGAGACGCCGTAATTATTGGCTTTCATTTTCTTACTATTAGGACTTTTTTCAGTTTCATCGTAAACACAATATTTAATATTATCGGACGGTTGTTGGTTAGGTCGATACTTTCCGATCGTGTGGGCTCTCCGAATTTCCGCGACCGTTTCCTCCTGCTATCTCTCATGGCAGAGGTCCCTAATCAGGTTTTCAGACGATTCCCAACTCTCGCGTGGTCCCGATCTTCAATACCATAAAATACGTGGTTTAACATTCGACCACGGTTTTCTCAGTCATCAAGTTTCTTAACCATATCATCTGTATGTTCTGACAAGATCTGGACCCAGTTATGTACTCGTGTCGTGTCACCCTCTGCATTTTCAAAAGTTTACATTCTAGATTCTAATATATTCAATTCTAGTTCCGAGGTCACTAATCAGGTTGTCCTACTTCGTTTGCTGTTTTTCGATGTCATCTAGCTTACACAATGTAGCAATTTAACCCTTTATAGTTGATGTAGAATAAGAGCCATATCAGTGTCAGAGTCAGGGTTTCCCTCAACATCGCCCGCTAGAGTTAACAATCTTATAAAAAAAAACAAAAAAAACACTTTCATAGACAGAGGAAAGTTGCGTGCTTTTTGTTGGAAAGGCAGTAGCAACAAAAGTCTATTGTCACTACGGTAGCAGGGTGGATTTGCCTTTACCTGTAGCCTTTACCATAAGTGTCTGATTAAGTACATGTCGTTGCGATCGCTGTCGCCTCTCCCACTGAAGCCGGACCGCTCGGGCATGGTCCTTCTGTGCCTCCCCTACAGATGTCAGCTGACGCTTCCAAACAAATGTAATGTAGATTGGCGTCCCAGAAATGTTGAGCACTCCATTGATGACCAGCGTGTTGATTGTGGTCGTCAGAGATTCCTCGGCGGTCACCAGGCTCGTGCCGCAGCGTGATCTCCCGAAGTTGCCGCTCCCGAAAACCAGAAGCTGCAGAAGACAGGAGTGTCTGATTAAGTACATGTTGTCGCGATCGCTGCTGCCTTTCCCACTAAATGTCATACAAACCCAAATTAGCATGCCCGATATATTTCCCTACTCAATACGTTAACAAACATCGCGACACGCCCCTTTTGCGATTTTCGCTGGAAGAGTAGAGTGTCGTCGGCATTGATCACCGTATACGTAAAAAAAATAAAAAAAAAAAAAAATGTATATATATATATATATATATATATATATATATATATATATATATATATATATATATATATGTATGTATTTTTTGGGGGGAAGGGGCGGGGAGGGGGGAGAGGGCTTTAAAATTTTGAAGTAAATGTCTTAAGAAAACGTTCTGCCTCCTCGTCTGTCCCAATATCTTATTATACTTTAAATTGTTATTTTTTACAGGCGTGTAATGCAATCTGTTTGGCAGCGGAAGAATAATGAAATACTCGAAAGCCGTCAAGCCCTGCATTTTTAAGCTGTCATTGACAATAGTATATTTGACCTCAAGAATTGTGTCCACAAAGCCACAGAGAAAAAGAAAATCCGGTGGTTGTGGCGCACTTTTAGGATGTAATCTCCTCTACTACCAACAGTCCTACGGCAGGCAACAAAAATACGTCCTGTACCAATGGGTCATTATAATTCAAATAGCGACTTTGAGCTTGAATGTAGTCTCTGCTCGGAACTGTCGATAGCAGGCGACATATTCTTGGCCACGATATGCTTGAGAGCGACCCAGTGTTGTGGCCGGAAACCAAACATTCCTTTATCTGAAGCCCGTTCGGCTGTCTGAGATAGACATCAATCACAGGGTTTTTTTTCTTTTATTTTCAGGCACTTACTGTCCCCTCAAAAGCGCCTCCGCTCGATTTAGCTTCCCCTTAAATTCGAAACGCATTTAGAAACGAGGGGAGTTCGTGTTTCTTTGTTTGCTTTTTTGTATTGTTTTGGGTATCGCGTTCCCCAGATTTATACGTACGTTTCGAAAACAAGAAATTTCGGAAACAAAACAAGGGCCCTTTTTTGCCTTATCGATCGATGGCGCATTCGCTGAAATATTCGCGTCGACATTTCTACCCCCATTGGTTGCGAATTTAAGTCAAGCTGAGAATAAATTCAAACTCTCCTTGTCTTTAAATTTTTTATTTATTTATAAAATCATTTTAGCCTTGTGCTGATTACTTTAACGGGACACGTACGTATCGATAAATCTTTGTCCAGTAAGCAAATCGTATTGTAAAAGATGTGCGTCAAACCAAAATAGATTGTGTACCACATATTTCGGTGGAATCTTTAGGCGATGTATAGTATATTTTTTATGCAATTTTTTGCGATGGTTGGCTGAGCACATTCCTTACCTACTTTTGTGTGTTTTTTACTAGATGCTATGTTCACGCCTATTATTTAATGGCATGCGGGGGGCACTTCCGGTCACTGCTGTGGTTAAAACTTCTCAGCGAAGAGTTTTCGTTCCGTGTGACAGTGAGCGGCTTATACATCATATTTCGAAGGAAAAAATGTAGGTTTCCCTGTGACAGTGGGTATTACTTAATAACTGTTGACTATTATTGTCATAGCTCGAAGCTCGTTTTAAGCCAAAACGGTCCTTGTCTTTCTTATTCGCAAAAACTCTCGTGTAAATTTTTCTTTCTTCATTTTGTTTTTCGCGTGCGCTAAGAAGAGGAAGGCGCGCGGTCATTATTTTATTAGTGTGTATGTCACGAGCGACAATCTCTCGCAAAATAATCCGGCAGATATTGCCGCCATGCTCGTATTCGCGTCTCCAGCTCGGTGCTTGCCCTCCCGCGGCGGAAACGGGAAGCGCTCTCGTGAGGGTCCCCCGGTTCTCGTACTCAGCGGGCACGGGGGAATTGCTCGTGATCAGGGCTCGCAAAATGTCATTTCCACATGAAAACCACACTCTTCACTGTCTCTTCGAAGTGCTGCAGCCCGTACGGGATTGTACCTCATTAGACAGTGTTAGTATTGCGTATAGAACCAAACGCAAGCGCTGTGAGTTTCTGTTAAAGTTGCGTTCTCCACGTTGTGCCTGCGCGTCATTCCCATGTGCCAATCCAAGACCGCAGTTTTGGGCTCCGCGCACGCGCAGTGTGCAACAAACAAAGTTAACGCGAACACATACCGCTTGCGTTCGCTCGTATACGCAATACTGGAGCTCAATATTGTTTCAGTGCCTTCCAACGCCAACGAAACGTGCTGCACTTAGCAGACATGCAAGCAGCTAAACGTTCTTTCGAACTGGAAAGGCTGAGATTGGCAAAACAGCGGAGCGTAAAAATTAAAGTAACTCAATGTTATAAACGGTTGGTAACTAAAAAAAATCAAAATCTGTTGTGTATTTAATCTTTACATAATATATACATTACAGCATACAGCGGGCACAACCGACCGGGTTGGGGCCAGAGCAGTCGAACGTCTCGTGCCTGCGCGCGTGCACCAGTTCACCGGCATCCCTGGATCCTCGGTTGCCAGCACACAACATCCCTCCCCCCTAGGTCACATAGTCATTTAGGTAGTCGGGACGTCGCCGTTGTCGCTGGGGACGATTTGACTGTTCTAGCGCAGGCGCTGAAGTTGGCAACACTGTTTGGTGTCTCCGTTCATAGGGTGAAGCAGGTGAACGTTGTGGGGAAGCTGGAGGTGTTGCCACTGGGTTTGACTCCTCAGGGAAGTCCGCTTGACTCGTAGATGGTGGGCACTCTTCCACCGATTCATTCCTAAGCGATGGCTCGCTTGGTAAGGAGAGCTGCTGAGGTGACAGCTCTGTCGTAGGCTCCTCCTCGTCCAGGTATGTGCTCCACTCCCGTCTCCGGATTTGGTCCACGTGCCGCTTCCAGAAACGACCGTCGATGGTGCGAACCTGGTAAGACACCGGACCGGTGATCTCAGTGATGATACCGGGTAGCCACTTGGGGCCTGCTAAATAATTGCGGATGAAGACTGGTTCTCGCGGCTCGAATTCGCGTACAGCTTGTCTTCCCCGCAGCGCTTGTTCCTCTTGCTTGTCCACCATCTCTGCTTGTAGGTCTGGGTGAAGCCGGTCCAGTGCAGTACGGAGTCTCCGACCCATCAACAATTCCGCCGGACTCTTTCCGGTCGTTGAGTGCGGGAGAATATGCTGACTCAAAAGAAATCGGGCCAACTTGGTGGCCATGTCGGCTCCTTCCATGCGCCTGAGGACTTTTTTAGTTTCTTGGACCATGCGCTCCACTTGGCCATTTGACGATGGATGATATGGCGCCACCTTAACGTGCCGGATCTGGTTTCTCTGCAAAAATTCTTCAAATTGTTGTGAGACGAACGCTGTCCCATTGTCCGAGACTATAGTGTCGGGAACACCGTGTGTTGCGAACAGCGCTCGCAGCCTTTGACACACTGCTGCTGACGACATGGATGCTATCTGGATGACTTCCAGCCATTTCGAATGCGCATCCACCACCAGAAGAAAAACCTTTCCTTGGAAGGGTCCTGCAAAATCGATGTGGATTCGGGACCATGGGTTTCTGGCAAATTCCCACGGATGCAGTCTTGCACGTGCAGGTTGCGGCCTTGTCTCCTGGCAGGGCAGGCAGGTTCGGACCTTCCTTTCGATATCTTGGTCGATACCCGGCCACCAAACTGTGCTTCTGGCAAGCGCCTTCATGCGGACGATCCCGGGATGCGTGGTATGCAGCAGCTCCAAAACCTGGTCTCTCGCTTGCTCTGGAATGATGACTCTACATCCCCACAGCAGGCATCCCCGATACTCCGACAACTCGTGCTGCCGTCGAACAAATGGCTTGAACTCGTCCGGCAGCCTGCCTTGAGGCCATCCAACCCCCGTCCAATGTCGAACTCTGGACAAGGTTGGGTCGTTCCGGGTGCATCGGGCAATCTTCTGGGCATCCCACGGAATCTCCGGCGCAGTCTCCAGCATCCGGACTTCAAAAAGTTTCTCGTCAGTTGAGCTGTCTTCCACAGTTAGAGGCAGTCGACTCAGTGCATCCGCGTTCCTGAGCTGATGAGCAGGCCTGTACTCCAGCTCGTAGTCGTAAGCCGACAACATTAACGACCATCGCAACATCCTCGGCGACAGCACCTGAGGCATCGGTTTTGCGTGATGCAAGAGTCCCAGTAGAGGTTTGTGATCGGTCACGATCCGAAAATGCCGACCGTAGATGAACTTGTGGAACTTTCGTATTCCAAAACCTATCGCCAGAGCTTCCCGGTCTGTCTGTGCGTAGTTCCTTTCGGCAGCTGTCATAGTTCGTGAGCCATAGGCTACCGGTACCTCCCGGCCTTCGCTATCAACGTGGCTCAGTACCACCCCAAGTCCGTACGGAGAGGCATCACATGCCATGACTAGTGGCTGGTGGACACTGTAATGGGCAAGGACGTCCGAAGACTGCAGTAGCTGCTTGGCCCGCAGAAAAGCCTCTGCTTCCTGCGTAGTCCATCTCCACTTATGGCCGTTGTCGAGCAGCCTGTACAAGGGCTCCAAAGTGTGTGCCACTCCCCGTAGGAACCTGTTGTAGAAGTTGAGTGCCCCTAGGAACGCTTGCAACTCCTTCTTGCATTTTGGCTCGGGTGCCCCATGGATAGCCTTGACCTTGTCGTCTGTCGGCTGTATTCCTGCCCTGCTGACCTTGTATCCTAGGAATACAACTTCATCCACTCCAAAAACGCACTTGTCCCTTTTTAGCCGGACACCGTCGTCTTGAATTCTTTGAAGCACAGCTTGCAGACGGGTGTTGTGCTCGGCTTCATCTTTACCGCCTACCAGGATGTCATCGAGAAAAACTTGCACCCCTTCCAGCCCTTGCAGCAGCTCTTCCATGTACCTCTGAAAAATAGCGACTGCAACAGCTACTCCGAACTGTAGGCGCGTGACACGGAAAAGTCCACGGTGTGTGGTGATGGTGAGAAGGTCAGCTGTCTCACTGTCAACTGTCAGCTGCAGGTACGCTTGGTCTAAATCAAGCTTGGAAAACCTTGCACAGCCTGCCAGCTTCGCGAAAAGTTCCTCAGGTGTGGGTAGGGGGTAGCTTTCCCAGCGGACCACAGGGTTTACCGTACTCTTGTAGTCACCACAGATTCGCACTGTGCCATCCTTTTTTACCACAGGTACTATTGGCGTCGCCCAACTGGAATGTCGGACCGGTTCCAAAATGCCTTGCCTGATGAGCTTGTCCAAGGCTTCATCCACTTTTGGTAGTAAGGCAAAGGGTACTGGACGCGGTTTGAAAAACTTGGGCTGGGCAGTCGGTTCCACTTCGACTCGAACTGGTGGTCCCTTGCTCTTGCCTAGACCTGGTTGGAAAACGTCGGCGTGACGACTCAGCACTGCTGCGCTGGACGGGCTCTGATTGTTCGTTGCTTCTTCCAGCTGATTGACTATCAGCTCAATCCCAAGAGCCTTGAACCAGTCTCGGCCAAGCAAGCCTACGCCTGCTCCCTTGATCACGACGAGACGCAGTCGTTTTTGACGCCCTTTATAGGTGACTTGGACCATCACGGAGCCTAGCACCTTCAATTCCTGCTGGTTGTACGTGCGAAGACGCAGTTCACACGGTCGCAGCTTGTGCTTGGACAACCGCAGCTGACGCATAGTTCTCTCGTTGATCACGGAGCACACCGCTCCTGAGTCGACTTCCATCTCGAGAGGGTTCCCGTTCACTCCTACGACCACGCGGATAGCAGGTTCCTCGGCAGTCATTTGGAAGATGCCGAAAACATCCGCTGTTTCACTGTCGCGCCGCCGGCCGTTCTGGCGGCTGCCACCTGTAGGCTTAGGCGTCGGTGAGGACTGTTTCGCTTTTCGTCGACAAACTTTCACGATATGGCCCCGCTGCTTGCAAAAGTGGCACTGTGCGTGTCGAAAACGACACTCGTCTGGTTCGTGTGACCCTCCACAGCGAAAACACTTGCCAGCGTCTTGCTGTGACTTCGACGCAGTCCTTTCTCTTGCTGCCTCGGCATTAGGCTTAGCTCTCGGAGCCATTTGCTTACCAACACGACACACATCGCTGCTCTCTGCGGACGCCCCCCTGATCTTTTCTGTCTGGTGGTGGGCGTACTCTGCTGCTATCGCCTTCTCTTTGGCCACCGCGAAGGTTAGTTCCGGCTCGGAGAGAAGCCGTCGCTGAAGGGACTCCTCCCGGAGGCCGCAGACTAACCTGTCTCGGAGCATGTCGTCCAACGTTGGCCCGAAAGCGCAGTGCTCCGACAGCCGACGATGCTCGGCGATGTAGTCGGCGATACTTTCTCCTCGACGCTGGTCGCGCTTCCCGAACTGGAAACGCTGAACAATGGCGGACGGCCTCGGGTTGAAGTGGGCCGCCAGTCGCGAGACGATGTCGTCGTAGCTCGTCTCGGAAGGTAGAGCCGGTGAGCAGAGTGAACGAACGATGGCGTACGTTGCCGCCCCGCAGACCGTGCACAGGATTGCACGCTTCTTCTCGGCTGACTTGATCTCATTTGCGATAAAGTAGAACTCAAGTCTTTCGTGGTAGAGTGGCCATGTTGCACCGATGCTCGGTGCGAACTCTTCGATGCCGCCGAATGCCGGCGCCGCTGATGCCTTTGCTTCTGCCATGGCGCCGTGAACGGCGCTCTAGAAGGTCTTCCGCCGCAGGTTGACTCCACTTCGTCGCCAATGTTGTGTATTTAATCTTTACATAATATATACATTACAGCATACAGCGGGCACAACCGACCGGGTTGGGGCCAGAGCAGTCGAACGTCTCGTGCCTGCGCGCGTGCACCAGTTCACCGGCATCCCTGGATCCTCGGTTGCCAGCACACAACAAAATCCCTTTGTCCTGTTTTTTCTGGGACGGGGGGGGGGGGGGGGGGCCTTTTGGTTTGGAAAGATATTGGTGGTGACCGGAAGTTTTGCCGATTGTCAAAAGTCACGACTTTGATAGTATCAAATGCTTTAACAACACTTAATATACTTTTACATGAGTTATCACACTAGCCAGAATGTCTTAAATGATTTTAGACCATTATTTTTAACTTGGGGAGTAAGAATGCTGCAATTGGCAGCAAATATTATAATTAGCACACGTTTGACTGTCATACATGTTCACGCGTTTGATGTAATATCATAAACAACTAATTATATTAGAGCATGGAAAATTATGTATTAGAATATCTTCATTTTTAAATTAATATCATTAACACGAATGGCAGCAAAGTATGCCCATAATTAATGCCACGATTAATGCCACGATTACAAAAATATGCCAAAAAACCATAATAGTCTTTCCAGAAAGGTGTCGTCTTGTTTCCTTTTTGGCACATCAAAAACTCATCGTTATCAAGATAGTCCAGCATCCAAACACTGAATGAAATATAAGGTCCTATGCGTCACGCGTTGATTTAACACACACACGGTGCCCTCACAGACACACACACACTTCAGCTTTTTGACTCGGTTTACGCCTTTGGTTTTTTGCGCTGAGAACAGCGTTTGTTAGATTATTCGTTTTGTGAACATATTGTAAAAATATGATTTATTATGTTGTTCTTGTGCTGGGAATAATGTTAAAGCAACTAATCATCTAAATACCCTAAAACTCATTAAGAGGATAGTAGCTTAAAATTTCAAATGACAATTGTCTGAACAAGAAAAGGCAGCGGGAACGCACAACCATCAGCTCGGATTTTTTTATTTTTTAACAATGATAATATTCTTTGTTCCCTCTCAGGTGTATAAAAGACACTGCCATTAAAAATACATTCAAATCTATAAAAGAAAATGTTGAAGTGCCTGGATCGAACACGTATGTCACAAAATAAAGTTTCCTGGAACAACTTCTTGAACAAAAGAATTACGATGTGAGACACATCTCGAGTCATGAAAGAATCTAAAATTAAGACCTATTCCGAGATATTAAATCCAAACTAGAGGTTTGTTTCGGTTTCGCTGCACAATTAAACCGTACCTCCTCTCATAAATGTTATGCTAAGCACCGTTTTTGTTTTAGGATAAAGAGGTGACCTGCGCTCGTTATACCCTAGCTTCTTTCTGTGAGCAGAAATAATTTCTGTCGCTCAGTAAAGTCAGCACACTAGACAAGCACAGCCGTGGCACGGATCTCCGACCCTCACTATACCCGCCATATTGAGAAAGTGACGCCAGCTATACTGGATTGGAGTCGCGAATACCCACATCGATCGTTCATCGAACGAGCTATCTTCACGGCAGCATTGAACTTTCATCTTGAAGTCTTCCTATACTTAACAAAAATAACTATTAGTGTGCAAATACAGAATTAAACTATCACCGCCATAATCGATGATTTCTTCCAGCTCAGCCGACTTTCCAACCGACAGCCCATTTCCCCATAAAAGCGTGAAACGTGAATAATGAAGCGTGAGAAGCGATCCCACCCCGCAACATTACACTCTACCAAAAACATGCCCACGCTGCATCGGCGTCATTGACAATGACAAGAAACGCACACATGTGCGTATTGCATTAATAAAAAAACACTAAAATAAAGGATACAGTTTAGTTTAGGCGTAGATGGGACATTATCTTTTTTTTTTTGTTCCACGAAAATAACCTTTTTTTTTTCGTGCGATATTTACGTCGTCTGACGCAATTTAGGTTTACGTCACGGCCCACTCGGACAAGCCGATAGATTAGTCGATGGTTCATCGCGTTGCAATTACATGACCTCACGAGGGAATTTCAAACAACCCACAACGCACACATGAAACGTGATGTCACGCGTGGAGCGCAAGTGATAAAACGTTACATGTAGCGCAAATGAAAGGTCGCCGCACGTCTCAAATTATATCAGTTTATAAAGTTATTTACTTGCCTTAAAGAACAATTTGAAACATGTTAGGTGCGATTCAAACCCACGATCCTTCGGTTGCAAACCAGACACGCTACTGTCCAGGCCACATATGACACGCTTGCACAGCCAATGGGAAGACGTTGTGAACGGGGCCCGATAACGCTAGCGCGTTCCACTCTTAAAGGCGAAGCTTCAGCGTCCTCTGAGGGTTTTTTTCAGTCTTGCCTTCCCAAAGACTGATGACGTAATTGTGGGATCGAAACCACCCGC